GGCCCGGGCTCCGCCTGGGCGCGGCCATTTGGCGGCGGCTCCGGGGCAGGTGCGCGGCGCCGCCCGCTGACAGCGGCCTGGAGCGCGGGGGCGAAGCCGCCGGGGCCTCCCCCGCCGCAGCGGGCGGCCCGGGGGCAGCGGCGCCGCCGGGGCCCGCGGAGGGGCGGCCTCCCCTGCGGATGTCCTCCCTGGAGAGCCGCAGCCCTGCCCGGTTGCTCCTGGTGGAGCTGCGCTGCGGGGGAGCGTGATGGCGAGCGCAAAATAGGCCCCAGAGCTGCTCCTGCGGTGGCACAACCGGAGAAGAAGGCAGAAAAACGCCGATAATGGTCCCAGCGCCGAGCGGGGAGGGCTGGCCGCCTGCTGCCGGTGCTGGCACCAGCGAGGCGAGTCAGCACAAAGCGCAGGGAAGGGCAGCGCCAAGGGCCGAGCGTGGGGTTACGGTCAAGGTGCCCAGGGCTGGTGAGGTGAAATAACAACGACATCTGGGCTGACGGCGGGGGAAATCCCTGACACGGGCTTGCTTATCTCTTGGGCCCTGCTGTGTCTTTCAGCACAAGATTTTTCATGGAAAAGATGAGTTTAATCGTAATTCTTGTAATGTTTTTGGTCTTATGATCATCTTTTAATGCCCGTCATAGCTTTAGCCCGGTTTTGAAATGAAAATTAAAGCCAGCCCTTCAGATCGTGAGGATGTAAACACGCTTTTCTGAGATAAAAAGGGATTTGGGCATTTTAAGTGACAGGCTACGAATACAATTGTGAATCTTCTGTATCAAAATGCTGTTATTTGACCTTTAGTCTGTGCTAAATATAAAGAGAAATTCTAGAACTTGAAACTTCTATTGCTAGCATAAGTATTATTCTATGAAGCATTGAATTCTTAATTATTGTGATTAATCACATTCCCAAGTCCTGTGTGCTTTTTAATGAGCCTTTTTTTCCCCTTGTTTCCACAAAGTGAGTAAGACTTTCAGCAAGAAAAGATTCCTTGCAAACTCATGGGCTTCTCTTGTATGAAGTCACACTCATTTCTATCTGAAAATTAATTTCCAACAGATTTACTGGAGATCCTTGAGATATCTCAAACTTCAGTCCTAATCTTGAGCACTGATCCTTTCTATTACAGGTTTGTTGATTTCTAGTTAATATAGTATTTGTAAGACACAGAGAGTATTTTATCTCATAGTGAGATGAGCAGAAACAGTCACTCCTTACTGACTGGGCAGAAATATTGAATAAAATTTGTTTTCATGGGTATGTTGGGTTATTCTCAATGAACTTTAAAAAAAATTTCTTTCTCTTACAAAAAAACTTTTCATGGTGATGTTTAAGAGCAGGTTTAATATTTCCTTACAATTATTTGAAAAATGTTAGAAGCTAGGATTCCACTTGTGTAGAACAAATGGTTTCTGTGTTGCAAGGCAGTTGGTGATATAAAAAGATTTGAAATACAGGGAGAATGAAGCCACATGTAAGAGTTCTCATTCTGTGATAAATATTCATGAAGACTATGGAATTCTGTAGCATTTCTCTTCTAGAAGTACTTGTCTCAAACTGGACCTGTTTGGAGATGGTTGTTCTTCTCTGAGTTCAGAGTAAGCTCAACTGATTTGGGGGGCAAAGAAATTTTCCTAAAATTTTCYTGGCACCTGTCCTTCAGTTATTCCTGAAAAGTCAATACTGTTACAGGATCTGAATTCCTATCAGGCTTGYGACAAGGACAAACTCTCCTACTAGTGACACCTCTGAAACATGCACAAAAAAATATTATGTAAGTCCATGGGAAGCTTTTAAAGTCTAGTGATGTGATTTCTTTTCTTTTGCTAGCAACACCTGAGCAGGAAGGAGCAGGTGGTCCCTCTGRGGCTCTGCTCGTGCGAGTTCTGACTGGGGTAGGTTTCACTCTGAATGGAGTGAAATTTGGCAGTTATTGAGCAACCGATAAATTTGTATTGATGAATTTTAGTGCTCTTCATAGTATATTTTTCTTCAACTACACATTTTAGGGAGGGAGAAGGGAGATCTAAAGCTTTAACTTCTTAACAAGAGAGCAAGAGAAGCATTCTGTAGTTGCGCAGAGGAGCACAACCTCCTCTGCGTGGATATGTCTGCTGTAATGAATCACCAAGTTTTCTCTTGATGGTGACTTTTCTGAAATTTAAATTGGGCTGCAGGTACTGAATGAGCACTAATTTTGGCTTAAAGACAAATCTCAATCAAAATAATGTATGTATTGATCATTAAAGAATCCTCTTCATATCTAGAATTCATCCAAGAGTTTTACATATGAGAGAGATAATATGGAATGTAGTAATAAGCAAGTTACTGTATGTAAAGCGGATTTATTTTAACTTCAAGTCGTCACAGCTGAGTGATGCAAAGCTTTTCTAAACCTTTAATGAACTTTTATTTTTTTAAAGGATCTGCTGGTTCTTGAAGAGATATGAATACAGGAGTAGCCATTTCAGAAAATAACTTAGTCAAAGTATCA